ACACACACACACACACACACACACACACACACACACACACAAACACACACACCACACACACGCGCATCCTGTCATCTTTCAATTTAATCCATAAAGATTGCACAATAATAAGCATATAATTAATACAAAAAAGATATTTACTTGCTCATTATGAGATTCACCCTATAGCCTTGTTGATGTATCAAAATACACATTGGTAAAACTTGACCTATGTAATCCAAAGTCTTGTGTTTGTCATTTGGTTTTTGTAAAACTAAACTAACAAATGAACAAATATTTAAATGTAAATCGCAAATCGTTTTCAGGGCTTTGTCATTTTGTCTTCTTCTTATTCTCATCCCTGAAAAGATAGCTGCTTACAAGCTGAACTGCAACGTTATTGGGGTTGCCCGTCCGCACCCCCAAATGAATTTCTGCGGATATCCAAACATACCCCTGCGGACGGGGAATATACTTCTGTGGCTGCCAACCTCTCGAAATTACTTGACAGAAACGGAGATTTACAACATGGTATTTATTCGCATCAACTGAACGAATATGCAGTCGTATTACGCGGATGTTCTATCGAATATGCGAATATTCCTCTAAATATGCGTAAAATCTGAAAATATACAAATTGTACCGCAGATAAGAGAACTGTTAAACTTTTATCATAAAGTTACATTACATATAGGATATATTGCACAATTATGAAAAGCATCATGGTGTGTGGGAACCTCGTAATTTCTTACAATTTCTCAAGGTGCATAGAAGATTTAATCAATTTAGTGGTTGCAGTTAGTCATGGATATGTCGCAGTAAGTACTAACAGTATAGATATTAGACATAGGCCTACGTTCACTCATTTTTCACACAGGCGGTCGATCATTGTGAAAAATAGAAAAACGCCGATTTCTCCGTCCGATTTCTGACATAGTAGCCGATAGTAATAGATGTATAAATGGATATTTCTCTGTGATTACAACTCGGAATAATTTAATTTTACACTCGTTTTAATGGCAACATATTGCTGTAAAAAATACTGTCAGGGATTGTTATTAAGTGCCGTAAGTTATGTCTGTTCATTCGCTAAAATTTTAAATTCAAACGTGCGACTTGAATTTTAGGCAGTTTTTTTCATTTTTCTCGGTAAATATAAAACTTAAAGAAAAATCCTGACACCCTTTTTTGGTACATATTGTGCTTTACATATACATGTAAACTATACATATACATATACATATATACATATATATATGCATATACATATACATATACATATACATATACATATACATATACATATACATATACATATACATATACATATACATATACATACATATACATATACATATACATATACACATGTATTGTGTTTACTTAACATGTAGCGAAAATTTTGTATCCTTACTCTTTCTGGTAATTGAGAAATATCCAAAATAGCATTTTTACATAAAAATTCAAAATTTGTGTGGTAACATATAATTAGGTGCAGGAAATTTTATGAAATTCTTTGGCTTGAGCATAGAAATATATTTCCTCTATAAATAAAACAAGTGATTGATTCGATTCATTCATCAATAAACGTTTAATCTTTATTAGAGCAATACCCGTGCAAAAGGTGGAGAGTATCCTTAAACACCGATTTAGCGCGACACATGCGCGATTACATTTTACCGCAACGATCGCGTTAACCGTACGTCGAGCAGTTTAGATTTGTGCCCAACTGTTGACGGACGCGCGCACAGACGGACAGACGCACAGACGGACGCACGCTCATGTGATTCTACAAGCTGCATCTGACTATGTCAGATGAGCTAAAAATGAAACCTTCCCCCAACTCTAACCCACAGTGACTATCCCAAAACTTAAGTGTAAAAATGATTCAGTGTAGCGGTGGAGTCGTACTCGTAACCTCGCAAAAAAATAGTTTTCAAAGTCAAAGGGACTGTATATCAAAGAGTGAAAGAGAAAAGTTGAGCAACTAAACATATCAACACTGCGGATCGCAGTACTTAGCAAAAGCCTCAAATTCGCAATTTACTAAACAGGAAGGCAGAGAATTCCAATATGGAATGACAGAAACAAAGAAGCTATACTTAAACTACGAATCCTTAGAAGATGGCATACCGTTAGACCAAATAATTCTGTCCCATATAACCTTTTTTATATTTTGGCGAGGCTTATTGGGACAGAACGGGGTTCATTGAAATTTCGTGAGATCGCATGCAAAATGAATGCACTGCTAATGCGGAAAAAAAACCTACCGTTCCCTTCTACATGGCTTTACCTTGCTACTGATATGTGTATACATTCACTTCAATCATTATTCACTTCTTAAAAGATTGTTTTTCAGAAACCCGCTTCATTCCACTTTTGTAAATCACAAAGCCATTTACAAACAATCAGACCAAACAGAGCGAGTCTATCAGCCCTCTTGCAGCGCCACAGATACAAGCGAGAACCAGGCTATTGTAAAACTCGCTCTGATTGGTCTGATTGTTTGAAAATGGCGAATGTGATTTACTAAAGTGAAATGAAGCGGGGTTTCTGAAAAACAATCTTTTAAGAAGTGAATAACGATTGAAGTGAATGTATACACATATCAGTAGCAAGGTAAAGCCATGTAGAAGGAAACGGTAGGGTTTTTTTCACGCCAATAGCGGCGTACGGGCCGCATTCGCATCGCATGCATTTTGCATGCGATCTCACGAAATTTCAATGAACCCCGTTCTGTCCCAATAACCCTCACCAAAATATAAAAAAGGTTATATGGGACAGAATTATTCGGTCTAGCATACCGTAAGATATAATACAATATCCCAAATTATATCATGCCCAATAATTCCCCAAAATAAATTAATGTACTAAATTACTGGTGCTAGTAATATTAATCATGGCTTTATTAATGCCTATCACTTACTATCGCACGAAGGGTGGTTGTCGTATCAGGTACTACATGTATATATCATATATGTACCCGAGGTAGTTTTAGGTTGTTTAGTATTAACTATTAGTATTGTTTATATTTTTATATGAGGTATGTTTAAGGTTAAGGTTAGGGTTAGGGTACACTTCTGTAGTACAAGTCTGGTACACTTTGTGTATGCATATATGCACCTCGGGTACATAATATGTATAAATATAATGTAGTATCTGATACGACAACGACCCCTTCAGCCTTACTATCCATATGGCATGCATAAATTTACCAATGGTTAAAGATAATTGTATCCAACTCTCAACATACTATGTTTCACTTCGAGCGTATATGTATCACTCTTCGCGAATGTAAATAAGACCATAGCTCACCGTATAACCTTTAGATTTTGAGGAATACTTATTGATAACCGCTTGCTGTTCCACGGGATGACGTGGTGTCATCTTTATGCAAACCTGTGTAGCGTTGCACACATTGATGGCTAACATGTACGCATTATAGAAATAGTTTTAAGAAGAAATAGCTTACTTACCTGGTAATGTATAATGCAACCTATATAATGCAGATATCGAGGCTATGTTAAAGCAACGCTATTGCCGAACATTGCATACTGTTTTCAAACATACACAATTTCGGGAAACACGCACGTCGCCATTACCACACGGCACACTGTAAAAGGTCGCATGTGCCCGATATTGATGTTCGGGCACATTCGGGGTTGTTCGGGCTAGGAGCAGTGTACGTTACAGCACCAATGTTTCGTTATGGCTGACGTCGTGATTGGAATAATATATATATAATAATTTTTACATCATTTGGGATTATTACAAAATAATTAAATAGATGAAATTTGTAGCTTGATAATTAGCAAGAACAAATGCACAGAGGATGCGACAAGCCCTACTCCTGGAACAATAACAATACGCATGCATGCATGCATGTGTGGTTGGTTATCTTGTAACCTGTCATGCACCAGTGGCAGTGTGTGAACCTATGCCTATTGTGTGAATGTTGGAACTTGCTGCAGCATCTGGCAAATGTTTACAAAAGGGATATACCATCAATATCAGACTTCGGACCCCCTCAATCTCCGATATTTTCACCATTGACACCAATTGTGTATAACTATATATATATATGGTCAAATTAATTAATTAAATTCATTTTAACGGTACAATTAATCCTGCTTCCTGAAAATAACCGCGCAGAAATATCTTACATATGGCTCGGCCACGCTAAAGAAGTGTTTATGAGAAGAATGATATGCAAGCCGAGCCAGACAAACTCCAGTGCATCCTCCCATCACAACGCAACCTCTATATATGATATCTATGGAGACGTTGACCTTCCCATCGAGAACTTCACAGCAACAAACCAGAGAGACATGATACAAGATTGCGTGGCACAGCTTTGCTGTTGATCCTAAGCACTGCACGCGGATGAGACGCGCAGTTCCGCGGGATATGCGCACGCGACCGCAGGGATGTTCAAGTATGAAGCGCTGTCCGCAGTGGAGACGTGCGCTAAATTCGAGGGCCGGCACAAGTCCCCACAGCGGTCAGCGGATGGTCTGTAGTTTTATAAGATGACAATGATTATATATGAACGATATTCTAGGAATTGGAGATTATAAAACAATAACAAAAATCGCTCAGTCATGCTCCAGATTAGCTGAATCAAAAAGATTAAAATTTAATATGAACAAAACAAATGGTTATAAAATTCACAAACAAAGAAAGGATAGAGAAGGAAATATTAATAGGCAACCAAGTAATAAAAAAATGCACCAAATATTCATACCTAGGGGATTTAATTAATGGTATATGAGGTTATAACGATATGACAAGAGTCCGAACTGAAAAATGTAGGTTCATGATGAGCAAAATATTATCATGGGCAGAAGAGCAAAATTATGGAAATCATACTATAGAAGCAAGAGTGAAATTATACGAATGCACAGTTTTACCTTCCTTCCTAAATAACAGTGAAACATGGACTTATATTAAAGAAGAAGTAAAATTGTTGGAGGATTTCCAAAATGAGTGCCCGCGCAAAATAATAATCACACAGAAAATGCAGAAAAATCTACCGAAAAACATTGAAAGACGATGAAAACTCCAAGGAAAGATACGGAAAAATCAGTAAAAATAACATATATAGTTTCTATACGTAAATCGTGGTAAATACATTAAAAACACATTATTTTATTGAAAAATCCCCATATTTACTTATAAAACATCCAAGAGATGGCGCTGTGTCATGTAAACATTGCGAAATGCATCGGCTTAGACTTGTACCCGGTCGACAGTTCCACACGCTACACTAGCAGCGTCAGTGTATCGAAGTATATACTTGCCGGAGTGAAGGTGGCGAACGGGTACCAGTCTAGCATCGGCCGGGCATTTCATTATTTACGAAAAATAAACACGTACAGTAGACCAGGAACTGGTCACGTCGGTGACGCCCCATTCATGCCCATCAACGAAGAAGGCGGGGCTTATTCCGATTACGGAGATGCGAAAATGCAACGGAAGAACCTAGCGCAGTGGGCTAAACAGCGTGTTATTTTCGTATTTATGCCAAACTCTATCGTAGGAAACTGTTCTAGCCTAGCAGAATCTGAGAATGCCCTAGTTCCTGATCGAGATCGGCGATTCCGTGCTCTAATGGTGCCGGGAATGGTGCCTAGAAGTTATAATAGAGAGGTGCGGCGTAGACTGTGATTGGAAGACACAAAGTGTCAATCCTCGGCGCGCCTCGATCGGCATCATGGCCGCATCACGTCAATTAAGCCAGATGTTACATTATTTGGTGCGTATCCCAAATTCACTATGCAGCTATGTAATCGGGACATGCGGGAGTTGTGAGGCAGTTTGAGTCGGAGCTCGAAGGACATGTGAGCTGTACAGAGAGAGAGAGAGAGAGAGAGAGAGAGAGAGAGAGAGAGAGAGAGAGAGAGACCGGTCTGAGATTACCCCAGTCTGAATTTACCCTCCTATGGGCACCCGGGTTAAGATATAATTTGCGCGAACAATTCCAGCCCGGTCTGAGATTACCCCAGTCTAAATTTACCCTCCTATGGGCACACAGGTTACGATATAATTTGCGCGAACAATTCCAGCCCGGTCTGAGATTACCCCAGTCTAAATTTACCCTGTTATCGGCACCGGGTTAAGATATAATACTTAATATATTTCTGCACACTCGATCAGTGCCATTTATTTCACCAAAGTGCTGCGCGGTTCTAGTTTTCCAGGGGTCTTAGGTCTTAGGTCTTCGTTTTCCAGGGGACTTAGGTCTTAGTTCTTTGTTTTCCAGGTCGTAGGTCTTAGGTGTTAGGTCTTCGTTTTCCAGGTCTTAGGTCTTAGGTCTTAGATCTCATGTCTTCGTTTTCCAGGTCTTAGGTCTTAGGTCTTAGGTCTTCGTTTTCCAGGTCTTCGTTGTCCAGGTCTTAGGTCTTAGGTCTTAGGTCTTAGGTCTACCCTGGCGAATCCACTGCAAGGTTACGTGACAGACTACTGTATCCCTTAGCCTGTGGTTGCGTGTTTGTAAGTCTACAGCCAGCGCACCTAGCGCAAGTGAACTGAGTCATGCATGTTTTCCAGGAAGATTTTCCATTAGATTTTCTAAATATGTTTTTTTTTAACATATAACCCAATAAATAACAAAAGCAAAGTGTTAGAATCGAACCTGATGCGTAGGAATGAAGCACGAAAATTTTCAGCCGGATTCGTGCACGCGCCTAGAAGTTATGCAGGAACAAACAGAATGACACTACTCAAATTATTATATAGATATATACAATTTTATGCCACGGTCATGATGCTTCTTGAATAGTCCCACCCCACTTGAATAGCGTAACTCCCACTAGTATCACCAAATTATCACATGCATGTACATTCATGTGATAATACAGATGCATGTACAACTACAATGCAAGTATGATTCATATATACAAGCATATTACATACTGTGCAGGTTGTGACTCTGGATACAACCTAAACTTAATGCAAAGGGCTACCAGGGCACTGTTCTTGGTTATATTCTTTCAAAAAAATTCCATTCACATGTCAGTACACAAATGGAAATAGTAACTTTACAATGAACAGTACTAGTGAGCATAGAGAATTAATACCAGACATCAGACGTTTTGCAATAATAAGAATTGTTTCTATGGGCAAATAACCAAAAGGTTTTCGTCCTTAGGTCTAGGCAGCTTATTATTGTTTCGAAATGCAATCATACCATCATACTAAAGAGATGTTTAGTTTACTAAGTAATAATCCTAAACGTTAGAAAAAAAATGGGTACAGTAGGCCTATAGGCTATAGCCTTTAACACTGCTACAGAAAATGACACTGTAATTATCGAACAAGTGCCGCAGAGCGACAGGGCTCATCTGGCGTCTGGTGTTCTGCTGATAAATTCATTTGTGCATATAGCAAGACGTCCTATACATACGTTCATTTCTAACCCCAAAAAACAACACTTCAAACTAGTGTAATAAAATTCCGATAGATGGCGGGCCGCTATCAAAGGCATCGTTGCATCGGTCAGCCAAAGCATGGCAGCTGTCACACTCAGATTGCAAAAAGCAAGAGCGAATAATTACCATATTATTACTATAGATAACGTGCGTTCTATGGTGTCAGGTAATAAGGTACATTAAACCCCTTGCGAGGCACATCTGGCTCGTTACAAAATAGCTCAATGGTTGATACAACCAGAGCAGCTCGTGCAAGATTACAATTTACAGCAATACGATAGCAAATAAGGTCTTAGGTCTTAGGTCTTAGGTATTAGGTCTTAGGTCTTCGTTTTCCAGGTCTTAGGTCTTAGGTTTTATGTCTTCGTTTTCCAGGTCTTAGGTCTTAGGTGTTAGGTGTTAGGTCTTAGGTTTTAGGTCTTAGGTCTTAGGTCTTCTTTTCCCAGGTCTTAGCTCTTAGGTCTTAGGTCTTAGGTCTTCGTTTTCCAGGTCTTATGTCTTAGGTCTTAGGTCTTCGTTTTCCAGGTCTTACTTCTTAGGTCTTCGGTCTTCGTTTTCCAGGTCTTAGGTCTTACGTCTTATAGGTCTTCATTTTCTAGGTATTAGGTCTTAGGTCTTAGATTTTAAGGGGGGCTTATGTCGGGCTTGCGAGCCGACTCGACTGGAAGCAACTGGCTGCAATTCACTGCGACTGCAGTGCTTAGGTCGGTCGACTGCGACGCGACTGCTTGCGACTGGCCGCCACTAGTTGCTCGGAATAGAACAGTGGGCAACTGGACGCAACTAGTCGCTGCCGATCGCTTCCAGTTGCTCGAAATCCAGTTGCTTCGAGTCGAGTCGGCTCGCAAGCCCGACATAAGCCCCCCTTTAGGTCTTAGGTCTTCGTTTTCTAGACACCCGATTTAGGATGGCGAAAACTGAGCAATTAACCAGGAAAGATATAGCATGAAGTTATTAACGGCGATCCACTATCGGAACACTCACGGTGGATGAGCAGAGCTCTACTAGCTGTTTCTTTTCAGCCACGACCGGAAGGGCATGCAGAGAGGATAAAGAGCTTATAGCAAGTGATGAATGGTTTGTATCTATATACGAGTATAAAATATTCGGAAATATCCGTCATGCACCGAGATGATGTGGAGAGCCCCGCGGCTTCATCGCGGCACGACAACGAGATAAAGAAAGAAAAGATAAGATAAGACCGAAAGAGAGAAAGAGAGAGCAAGAGAGCAAACAGAGGGGAGAGGGCGGGGAGAAAAAGACAGCAAAAGCGAGAGTGAGAGAGGGGAGAGAAAGAATGAGAAAGAGAGAAAGAGAGAGAGAGAGACAGAAACAAAGAGAAAAAATAAGAGGGGACTGTGAGAGAGAAGGAAAAACACAGAGAGGGATAAAAAGCAAGGAAGAGAGCAAGCGCGTGGGATATCGAGAGAGAGGTGAGCAAGGAAGAGAGGACAGGAACGGGGACGGGTAGTGGGGTGCCTTTACACGCTCATGCTGAAATACACACACGAATGCATACAATTTTGCATGCATAAAAACTCGGCAGTTTAGTCGTGAGCAGGTTTTTGTACGTATAGCACTATAGAGAGGAGCTACTCAGAGCATTCGTGGTTTTCACCAGCCGCGTGTTGACTCCAAGCAAAAACTCGTGCACAGTTGCTGCTTTTTGCATGGTTTTCAGATATTACGCTGGGAAATCATTTTCTATTGGCGGTAATGCATACGAAAAAATTCCCATAAATCAGCAGCAGAAGTCTTTTCTAGAGATCACAATACCACCCTCTGAATTGACGTTCCAAGTGTCACAATATATGTTGTTAACTCAAAAATTCTTCGATAATTTTTTGTGTAAACAAACTTATCCCGTGCCACGTGTGAAATGGCCACTTCGCAACGAGATTTTACGGGAAACGTAGGCTTCCTTTAAAAATTCTCCAGCCGCCACAAGAGTGCACACCAAACAAGCACCCACAGTGTCAGGTGCAGCAAGCATAGCATTCTAGTTTCTAAAATTAACAATTGCAAAGAGTTAACCCTTTGCATCGACAAATAGAAAAATAACCCGCACATATATGCAGCAAAACGATCTCATTTTTTAAATGTCCAGCGCTCATTGGCAGATTTGCGCGCGTAATACCTTCAGACTTGATTATATATATACCTGTGAACTCATGGCCCCGTCGTTGAGGAAAAAAATCGACTCTATGTAGCATTATGTCTTGTAGCGACCAATATTACACTTAAATTTTATATTAATGAAACATATTTATGTCGTTAACAATATGTCACTATGCCAATGACGACGCACGCAGGTATCTACGACGGAACTATTATTAACTCCATTCATTACGTCGTGGATACCTGATGACGGCATGAGGAACAATTACTACGTTCATTAGTCATCCATTAGCCACGTTAGTGGATACTTCATGACGGGCCGAAATCACCTGTCGTCGCATAAGAGAGAACTCGCATTTAATTAACGCAGTTAGATGTTGTCATCTATGCGGACGAGGGTGATACACACCTGCGGAGATATTCTGCTACAAGGACAAGGGGAAGACGGACACGCATGCGCGCGACATAAGAGCGGGAAAAGGGGAATAGAAATAAGGCGTTGGCGCGTATCGTAAAACACTATTTTACCTGTGCACACCAGGGCTTGGTGTGATCTGGTTTTACCTGTCACCGGCTTCAGTTGGAATAAAGATACGTTTTTTCCCCTTTAATTCTGGTCTTCGCCTTTCGTTACTCGTCTCCTCGTCTACTCTCCTACCTTGTCCCTTCCACACTTGTGTAGCGTCACGCACTACGCTACAGTCTCTATTTAGCTCTACCTTCTATTATTATTTGTGATCCGTTATATTAACTATTATAACAAACCATCCACCACAAAACAGCAGCTAATAGATGAAAGTTGGTGGGGAGCTTATTATCGCTTTGATTTACTTTGATTCATTTGATTGCCACTGCTGAATTTATTTAACTGTGCCTTATAACGTATATGGATCATATCTGTCATCTCCAAGCTACCTTCGCTTGTACAATTAAAAGAACTATAGGTTTGATAATAAGTAGAAATAAATTAAGATATTTAACACGGTCCGGTACCATAAGAATCCCAGCTGCGGCACGATAGCGACAGTGATTTCTGAGGGGCGTGTCTTCGATCTTGATCGTACCGCGACTAGAGCGTAACGAACGTTGAGCGTCGACGATGCACTCTGTTTCATGCTAAGAAGTGAATTAGATCTAATTGCTTCGTTTAGAAATATTTCGATTAGCACTACCTAGGGGGTGTAGGAAAAAGCGCATATTAGAAAGATTAATTGGTCGCAGAAAAATTGGTTACATAATAATTTGTTACACGGAAAATTGATCACGGGAAATTGATCACATATAGCAAACGTCGGTATACTACTGCTCCCTCTTACCTTAACCCTTTTCTTCGACTGCTTCCCTTCCACTTACTCCTCATCACGTCTCTCTTTTCTTCATCTCCACCATCTCCTCCACCTACTGCCACTCCTCCACCCCTCGCTCATCTTCCTATTTTCCACTTCCCTCATCTGTTCTTCTCTTTTCCTGTCGTCCTTTACCGCCTTTCCCGTCTCGTTTCCTGAGCTACATCATCCCTTCTCCTTCTATATCTAATTTATCTCCACCTTCTCCCCCTCCTCCCATTACCTCCTTTCTTCTTCATCTTACCCCTCCTCTTGCTTCTCTCGCCCAGTAGACTCGACAGTACTGAACCCACGCGATTACCTTGCTTCGGTGCTTGCCTGGTAATACGCCTTACGTTTCCCGAATCCTAACACACAGGTGAAAGTATCACGTTATAGAAGTTGGGGGTCGAGAATAAGGCGTACAAATACAGGGGCTTTACCTTACCTATTTATATAGATAGAGACAGATATAAGCACTTGTCAACAGGATCTGTGTAGCCAGTTCGTGAGATCTATTTCCATATTTATGTATTTAGTATTCGCGTTTATGTTTTAGCCAGAAGGCGGTAATTGGCTTCATCACACGGGACGTGCCGTCTGCGTTAATCATGCGCCATATTTGTTACATGGACTCCCAATTGATCTAATTATGCCGCTATAGAGCGTGTGCAGATCTGTATACCATGGCACGTATTTTTTTGTCGCGAACTTTTCCCGCGGCTGACTTTCTTGAAACATTTTCCTTGCGGCTAAGGAATTAATAATTATTACAAGATACGACATCATTTGGACGCATTTCGCATGACTGCTGCAAGCATCTTTCAATTAGTACACATTACCGTGCGCATAAAAACTCCTAATTTATTGCGAAGGTTTCGATAAGCACTTTAGCGGTTTTGCTCTCCAGCCAAAATCATAGTAGGGCATGGTGTTGTAAGAGGATTACTCCAAGAAATCGCGTTTATTGCCCGTCTATACAGCAGCGTATTCGAAGGTCTTCACACCCTCGTCCATGCCGGACAATATACACCAGCATGTGTGAAGGTCTTTACACCCTCGTCCATGCCGAACAATATACAGCAGCGTGTGTGAAGGTCTTCACACCCTCGTCTATGCCGGACAATATACAGCAGCGTGTGTGAAGGTCTTCACACCCTCGTCCATGCCGGACAATATACACCAGCGTGTGTGTAGGTCTTCACAAGCTCGTCTATGGCAGGCGAGGTGGGACACAAATGGTATTTAGTGACTATCATATATTCCATTTAGTAACAGTCATTAAATTAACCAATCAGATACAACTAGTTTTTTTCTCAGCCAATCATAGGCATGGAATTATTGACAAACACTAAATGATTTAATGATTTAGTGACAGTCACTAAATACCATTATTTTGTGTCCCACCTCGCCTGCCATACTCGTCCATGCCGGACAATATACAGCAGCGTGTGTGAAGGTCTTCACACCCTCGTCTATGCCGGACAATATACAGCAGCGTGTGTAAAGGTAGGTCTTCACACCCTCGTCCATGCCGGACGGATATCACGTAGCAACCACATGCGCGGCAGGTCTATGTGGCAATCCCGTCCCACAAGTTTACGTGCGCTCTATCGATTCACGTAGCAAATATACGTTCACTCGCAGCACGGGCGGCATCGCGCAAGTGTTCGTACCTTGTTTGACAGACCGCGCATGCGCCAACGCTGCGGCAAAGACGTTGACTGGATAAAATTAATGCGCACGCGTGGGAAGTGTACACATGCGCGAAGCCGCAACGCGCGCGATTTGCTCCGTACGTGCCCGGTCATTTACGCACGCGTATATATTGAAAATCAATCACTTTTATCGAACACTCCGCGTGCACCGAGCCAGCCAACTACGAACTTCTTCAGCTTTATATCGTCGGCACGATTCGACGCGTTGTCGCACAGCTAGTTGGCGCACAGCTTTGGCGAAAATTCCACGGAAAGCAATCGAGCTATAGGGCCGAGCGAGCACCACGCGCCAACCCCACGTACCGATCTCGTCTGACTGTGACTTCGGGGGCGACAGAATTCACGGTCGCGCACCGATATTGGCGACAATAACCAGCGTCCACGCCAGCGTCACCGTCCGCGTCTCCGTCGTCATGCCGCTAGACAGGATGATTCTGGCGTGTCTCTTGTCGTCGGTCGGCGGTGTCTACGTGCCAGGCCGACCGCAGTACGTCGCCGAGTCACCGGGAGATCTTGTGCTAGCCGGCTTATTCCCGATCCACAAGAGCGCCTCGCCGGGCTACTGCCGACCCGTGCTGAGAAGCGGCGGCTTTTACGTACCGTACGCTTACAGCATGATGCACGCCATCCACCGCGTCAACGATGACCCCGCCATCCTGCCCAACATCACGCTCGGTTACAGAATCGCCGACTCCTGCGGTAAGGACACCGCCGCGCTGGCGCACGCACTCGACTTCGTTCGGCTGAGTCCGACTGGCGACGATTCGGCGCCGCCACCTCCCGTCGTCGGCGTCGTCGGTGGCAGCTACTCCTCCGTCACGAAGCTGTCGGGATACCTGATGACGATGTTTCACGTGCCGCAGATCAGCTACACGGCGACGAGCGACGCGCTGAGCGACAAGTCGGTGTACACGTACCAGCTGCGCACAATCGTGCCCAACCGGGTCTTCTTGCAGGCAATCATGGACGTGATCGCTTACTTCAGATGGAGCTACGTCTCTCTGCTCTACATCGACGACGAGTATGGCACCGACGGACAGCGCTACATCAGCAAACAGGCCGACCGGCTTGGCGTCTGTTTCGCCGTCAAAGAGCGAGTCAATTACTCGATGACGGCCTCGCATTTCGACCGCATGGCCGGCATGTTGCTCCAGCGACCACAGGCGAAGGTTGTCATCGTCCTCAGCTACCGAAGCTCGAGGAACGGACCGGATCTGATGGAGGCGCTGCGGCGACGCAACGCGATACACGACTTCATTTTCGTCGCGCCGACGCTGGGCCGAGTCGGTAGGGGAGCTTGCCGACGTCTACGACGTTGCTCACGGCATGTTCAGCATTAAGCCTCGCAAGACGTCCGTCGCCAGCTTCAACGACTGCGCACGCAGACGCTCGCCAACAACGCCGACAACAACTGGTTCCGCGAGTACTGGCAGATGCACTTCGACTGCAGTCTGAGCAAGGTGACAAACCGGAAGCTGTGCCCGCCCGACAACGCGACCATGGACGACGTCGCGCCCGTCGATAGAACCTCGCTGGTGACTGATGCTGTCGGTGCGTTCGCTCACGCTTTGCACGCATACGTCACGGAGCAGGGATGCCTTGAAAAGAGAGGCGACGAATTAAAACGTTGCGTCGACGGCCCGCTACTACTAAAGTACATAAAGAACGTTTCCTTCCCGGCCGAGTCGTTCGAGGGACTCATACGCTTCGACAGAAACGGCGACATCCGCGGGAAAGTTGCCATCGAGAATCTGAAGCTTGTCGACGGTCGCTACGTGCTGGAGCGAGTCGGCGAGAGCGACGAGCGCGGACTGGTCATTAACAACGCGGTGCGGCCACTGAATCTTTCGTGACGCGCGACAGTTCCGACTACAATAGCTGGGTAATTCTGTTGCCAGCCGA